TCTCTTTAACATTTTTCATAACTTCTTTTAATGAAATTTGTATACTAAATTAGCTCTTCTTAGCTTATTTGCAATTAACTTTGCACCTCCAGAACTTCTGCACATCCTCGAAAATCCAGCAAAAAAACCTCACGGTTGAGTTGAGGTTGAGAGGAATCAGCTCTTCACAAGGTTGATTAAAACACTTTCACAACGACAGCCGAAAGGTGAATAAGACAATTAGGAAATATGGTGTAGGCACAATCCGCAAAAAAGATTAAAATGGAATTCCTGCAAATATCAGCCAATCAATTAGATGACGAATCATCACGAAGTTGCCATTTTAGCATGCGAATGGCATCGGCTATTTTTATTTTCCCCCTATTCTCAAGGTTTTCATAATTACAGACATTAAAACAATGCCAAAACATCGATATGCGTTACTCGACTATGCACTAAACTAAGCCATTTTTTACTAATCTAAATTAACTCAAAAACTTACAGAAACTTAAAGCTTTTTAATACTTTTTCACGTCGTCAACAAATGCAGATATGGAGGATTTACATCGACCCTTACAAGAAACTAACTGCTACCACAATTGCAAAATTTGGTGAAAATGAAATGGAAAACTCAATAAAACCAGAGGACTGAAAAGCAGATGCCCAAAGAAGGTTCTTGAAGGTTTTTGAGACGGAAGAGAGGTGGAACAATCTGAGGCCTAAAATGCCACAAACGATGAAGAAACTACCTCATTCAGAGGCAGAAAATGACAGAAATTGAGAAGAGTTTATTTCTTCATGGTCTTCATATTCCAGATCGAGTTCCTCCAAGCTTAAACTTTCTGATTTTGATATTTTTTGAGATTGATTGAGATTTTGTCCTTCGTTTCTTCTGGCTTTCTTGGCCTTTTTTTGCACCAATTCCTGAGATTCCTTTTCAGGTCTGTTGCTGTGACTTTAGGGATTTTTTCCTCGGAAACTTCACCATCAGCACGTCCTCATGTGGCTTTATAAGAATTTTGGCAACTTTACTCTTCACTTTTGTGACTGTTTCAGTTCCTTTATTTTTTTCTTTTTCCTCAATTTGCACTGCCGGTGTTTCCGTGTGGGCTTCTTGGTCTGTTTGATCTTTAATCTTTGTCTTCAGTGTTTTTTAAATTTTAATAGCCCACCTTCATCTATTGCCGTAGTTTCCCCTGTCGGCTTTTCTACTTTGGGAATATGTGTTGATATTTTTACTTACTTCCTGCTGCTTAACCTTTTCTTTATTCGCTTCATTGTTAGATAAAATTTTCATGCCGAAGACTGGATTGCATTGCCAATTCCAACTTTAAATACTTCATATTTTTTATTTTTTTATGAAACTTTAAAATTTAGGGAAGCAATAAAGGCTCGAAGGATGAATATACTTCAAAATTGATCGTTCATTGCCTTAAAATGCTTGCCAATTCTCGGGATTTTTTCAGTTTGAAGATGTTAAAAAGCTTGTAATAAGTTTTTCAAAAATTCATCATGCACCTATTTTGAGGATCAGCTGGAAATGCGGGTTTAGGCGCATTTTTGGAGAGAAACCATTGCTCTATTGGCTCTGCAAACGTGAATTTCCTTTGCTTTCTCCGCGATTCTACGGCTTCCTTCAAGTTTCAAGGTTTGAGCACGCTTTCGAATAATTTTTCAACAAATTCCCATTTAAATTGAGGATTCGCTCGAGAGGTGCATTTGACACAGTTAGATAGAGCAAACAAACAAAAAAACTAGATACTGCAAGCGACAGTTACCTGTACATTTTTCTCAATTTTTGCGACTTTTTTGCTCCGTTTGTTGCCTTTCCTGTTTTGTCTTCTCCAGGTTCTTACTTTCTGTCTTCCTTTAACATTGTCAACAAACAAACATATTGTCTTGTTTTTGTCCCTGTTTAAATATTTTGTTTTCAGCTCAACTTTATTTGCTACATCTTTCCCTTCCTGCGTTTTTATTCATCTGAGGGCTTCGTATATTACTTTTCTTCAAAACTCTCGATTTCATGTTTCTTCTTCATTTGATTTCCGTTCTTTCTGATGTATTTTTGTATTTCAAACGCTGGGGCACTTTTCTTCCTCTTGTTTCTTAAGGGCAACAAAAGAGAAATTGATACACTTTTCTTTTCAATTTCCTTGAACTTCAACTGATTTCCTCAGATGTTTTCTGTCTTCGGCTTTTTCGTCTACCTGTTGTGCCTTCCTCCTTCTAATGCAGTTTTTCCTGTCCTTTCCATACACGTTTTGTTCTGATTCATGATCAGTCAGTTTCATTTTCTCAATTGTTATTTATTTCCTACTCATAGTTCTTCTCTAGGTACTTTACTTCCTGGTCGAGTTTTTCATCGGAGAGCGTTCGTTTGTCGTTTTTCTCACGCTCTCCACCTTTCTTGCTCTTTCTTCTCCTGTATATACTTTTTGTCCCGTCTTCTGTCATTTTCTAATTTCTGTTTTCTCGTTCGATTTTATTCTTGAAACGCTTTGCTTCCTGGCATCGTTTACGCTGTATTTTATGATCTTAGTTCGCCTTTGAGACTTTCCTGTCTGGCTTGTTCCATTTGTTTCTTCTCCTTCAAGCTCACTTTTGACTGATTAATTTTTGCTATTAGTTTGCATTTCCTCTTCCAATTTCCTCTAGCCATGTTTCCTTTCCATTCCTTCGTTGATTTTAATGTGTTTTTCCTTCTAATGCCGTTGTCAGTTGAGTACTTTCATTGCGGTTCTTCATTTTCTTTCAGGCTCTGTTCTGCCAGTTTAATTTCCTCAAATATTTTCTATTTCCTCCCTAATGTTGTTCTCCGGTTGTTTTAATTCCGCTTTGCTTTTTCATCTGAATGAGTTTTTTCCGTCGTCTCTTCTAGAATATTTATTTCCTACCGTCGTTTCTCTTCATCTCATTTCTGTTTAATTTTCTCTATTCTCCTTTATTCTCTAGATCTTTTATTTCCATTTCATCTTACTTAATTACTGTCCAGTTTTCACTAGTCACATTTAGTCTTTATATGCTCAACTTCTCTTCCCGGTTTTATCTGTTTTTTTCCTAATTAAGCGCTGTTCTTCCTGTAATTGCTTCTCTATTAGACTTTTCTCTTCTAGCATCTCACTTCGGTTTGCTTCATTTCCTCTATTTTGGTCGATTTCCTGTTGAGTTTTCTCCGCTATTCTACAGCTTCCTTCAAGTTTCAAGGTTTAAGCACGCTTTCGAGTAATTTTTCAACAAATTCCCATTTAAATTGAGGATTCGCTCGAGAGGTATTTGACACTGTTAGATAGAGCAAACTTCGCTCTATTCATACTGCAAGCGACAGTTACCTGTACATTTTTCTCAATTTTTGCGACTTTTTTTAACTGGAAACAACAAAACGAAGTTTGAATGC